GGATTGTTCTTCCTTCTATAAAGGAATATTTCTCAAGGTTCCGGGCCATATACCATGATATTCATTAGGAACATGGAGGACCAAATGCCCCAGCTGTTATGAATATGATCAATAGTTTCCAAGGATGCAGTTGGCTCTGCTGTGGACGCCCCTCTGCAATTACTTCAACACCCCTCTCTCTCCCCCAGAAACCTCTCACAAGACACCCCCACAGGATAGCAAGATGTTTAAGACTGAAAATAAGTGCTCACCATGGGCGGTCCTAGACACAGAATAAAATGGGCCAGTGCCCCTCTAGAACAGATCCACGCCCCTGTTATTGGACCAGCACTGAAAACAAACACTGCAAAATTTATTTATTTATTTATTTTCCTCATTAAATGTATTTTCCCTTGATTTAGGCAGGAACAAGAAAATCTTTTAATGGAATAAGATCAATTTACGTTGATGATATGATGATATACGCTGATTGATTTGACCAATTTTATATTTTGGCCGTTACAACTTACTCTGACAATTATTTAGAAATTTCAGCTGAATTTAAGCTTCAGCCATATTAGGGTAGGATCAGATTTTTCATCTGTTAGATCAGGGGTCTGCAACCTTGAATTTCTAGCTTACTTTATATTGAAAACTATATGAATTTCCCTTTGTTTGTGTTGTTTTTCTGTTCTCTCACCCCATGAAAAAAGAACTCTCCCCATCCTGGCTCACCTGATCATCTTTATCTAGAACCACCAATGGTGCTCACATGCACTTGGACATTTTCTATTTGACTGCAGCTTCATCCATTCTGTTATGGTTAGCAGCCTGTCCTTTTAACGTGGTTGTAATAATGTCTGTCATCAGGAAAAAATGATGCAGAGCAGAGCAGTTTAAGCTAGAACAAGACAATAGACTGCACTATATAATAGACAGGCAGCACCACTGTCATGGTTGATTTGTGCATAGAAGGATATGGGAGAGTAGTTCTGGGGTGTTCTTCACCTCGTATGAGCTGTCTTACGGTCTTTGACTTACAGTATATTAATGCCTGTCTGCTCAGTTTAAAGCTCTTAAATGCATTCACATGCAATGTCTTCACACCTCTTGAACTCTTTTATTTTCTCACAGTGAAACTACAAAGGACAATCTGTTCTATTTACATTGATTAGATGAGACAGACCAACACAAAGTAGTGAATTTTTGTGTCTGCAACAAATTGTATGCAATGCTACATCTTTTTTTTTTTTATTCAAAAAGTTTACATTTAAGCTAAGAAAAAATGTACTTGAATCTGGATAAAAATAAATATCATATTAATTAGAACTAAAAAAGTAGAGATGTGAGACTCAAAATAGATGAAATAGAGATAGAATGAGTAAATGAAATAACCGTAAGTGGAATTATTGACCACAAGCTGGACGACTCACATCAAACATGGTCAGACTAGATCATCCAGAAGCATCACACATCTTAAAGTTACAGGGTGTAATAATTACAGGGATTTGCTGACAGAAATGTAATAAAATATAACAAAAGCAGGTTATTTATTATCATTGAAGAACTGTAAGTACTATATATATATATACCCACACAAGGATGAAAGCCTTACTAGGAACATAAAGTTAATATGATTACATTTCCCTATAAACAACAATGCCTATAACAAAAGAGTACAAGCAAAAAAACTACAAAATACTTGCATTAATTTAAGGATAAATTTATTGGAGAAGAGTTTTTTTTGTAAACCAGCAAGCTGGTCAAAAGAAGCATGGCTAAGAATTCCTCAGCTCTTAACAAGAACACAAGAAATCAATGAGACATTTGCTATGAAATGCAGATGAACTTGCTCTTGTTTATGGATTTTAATTAGGGCCAAACAGTCTCATAAATGTATGTAAAGCTCCCACCAGCTGCTGTGGAAACCTGTGATGCTCACTGTGAAGTAGGTCCTCGCTTTCCTTCAAAAACACTGTGCAGAGTTTTCCCCTCTGCACTGCGTCTCATCTTTAAGTCCCTTTTCGGAAGCACTGCAGGCTTTTTTACCCATCACTAGATGCTACCATGAATGACACAAGAAACTCGTCCCCGTTTACCCCCCCACACTACACAGAGACACGTCAGACAAGGATGCTGACAAGATGTAAAACCGAACCCTGAGACACAAGTTGGCCCATTTGAATAATGCACGCATACGAGAACCGATTCTTTTCCAGACTCTTTGATGTGCTGTGAAAGGATGACTCCTGACAGCATCAGATTGAACCCCCCCAGACTGGTAAAAAGTAGCAAGAACACTGGGAGAAGGCAACAAAGAAAAGGATGATAACACTGCAGACAATGTAATCTCACTCTACCAAATACCCAAACCACAACACATGCAGCAAATGATGTATCAGCCACAGTGGGATGTTTAATTTGGCACCACCTGAGAAAATCGCGTGTCACTCTGCAGGATTAAGAATTAGTTTAGAGGGCTGTTTGTTGGCTTCTTCAACAAGTCAATGTGTCATGTTACACAAACCAATAGCTGCATGGTGGTACCAGCAAAAAGAGAAAAGAACAGAATCAATTCAAGCAAAGGCAACACGGTATTAAACTACTGTGGTCTTCAATTGGCAGCATGTTTGATGATTTTAAAACAGATTATACAATCTTTACCCCTTTCTTGCTGTCATCTCTCCTAACATGGTGCCCTTTTTAAAATTCAAATGATCCAAGATACTGCTATTAGCATTCTGAAATATTCATAGGACGTTTTCCTAACTTGCATTGTGCACCTGAGAGGGGGTGATCAGGTAGCTTATCAAGATGAGATCTGTTTATTAACTTACTATATGCTCTTGGGAGCAGATTGTCAGTGTTGCAAATGGTCATGTTCTGCCTTCAACTTCAAGTTTACAGCTTGCAATTTAACTCAGCCTTGTTTTTTATACCACAAATTGAAGCTAATTTAGCTAAAACTTAAACCTCACATAGGCTTTGAAGAATGAACTGTTAGATTTACCTTCTGCCTCTACTCAGTAGGCCTAATGTGGGGGACCTGAATGCTGAGCTACCAGAGGCTCTTTAGATGGAAATTGAAATTTTCTGCAGGGTGGAAAGGAAGGAGGTGTTTTAAAGGCCTGGTTTGCACATCCCTTTTGCCCCAGCATGGCACATTTTTAATAAGGGGGAGAATCTGTCCTTACCAAGCTCTCCTTTAAAAAAAAATACAACTGGAGATTTGTAAAACATGACAAAGAAGGCAAACATTTCTCACAAGTCTCTGAAACAGTACGAGAGCTGCAGTTGGGATTGCCAGGGGACAAATGCCACCCCCTGTCAATCAACTGTGTTTGAGACTTATGTATTACTTGTTTATGGCAGCATTCTAAAGCCAACAACAGTAAGCCTACTCTTTATATTGGTTTACATTTTGTTAGTTTTTTTCTAGTTGATTCTATTTGTACACAGCATAAAGCCTTCTGATTGATGTTTTTTTCAGGTCTATTTCACATTGAATAGAAACCATAGCACTTTTTAAAAAGATAAACAGGAAGATGGACTCACACACACAGGCCATTTGTTGAAAGGCAAAAGAAGAAAAATTTTTGGCCTTAAAATCTCATCTTTACTATTCAATACAACATTTGATAACATGATTTTTCACCCGCTTGCCTTTACTGATAATAAGGTCACGCCTTACTTGCCGTGAAACACCCTCTTGTGGTTTGGCATACTTCTGCTGTTTAGGAGCAAGTTTTTTATGATTCAATGTTGTTTTTGGTAGATGCAGAGTTTTTAACCTTGCTCCTGTTTATTTTATCTGATTGCAACATTTTTCTTTTTACAATTTTTAATACTCTTTCCATTAGTTTTTTGGAGTTTCATGGCTCTGCAGTGCGTTTAGCTGTTTGTTGTAGATCCGCACCCATCCAGCACTGTACTGTAGATTTTTTTTTCTTTGTTTGTTTTTTTAAGTACTGAGTGTAAGAAAAACACCATAAGCAGCATATCTTAGGGCTTAGAATTATCATTTACTGTACCGTAATTCCGGTGACGTTCATAGAAAATTATTTCAAAGCCGTCTGGTCAATTTACAGCAGTCACTAAAAAAAAAAACTATTATTTTAATTTGAGTGCATTTTTCATTCTGTCTGAGTTTCGATAGAACTGTCATAATTGTAAAACCAACTTAAGTTATTATTTTTGGGCAAGATTATACCCTCAGTGGTTCCCAGCCTTTATCAGGAAAGTATATTTTTTTCCACTTTTTTTTACCTCATGCACAATTTTCTGAAACTGGTGATGGAGGTGTAGATAATTCTGATAAGGATAGAAAAAAATCCAAAAATTTGAAGTAAACAGTATTGGTGCAGATGTGATAGGCAAGAAAAATAGCAATGAAACACCTAATTTTAGCAGCATTGATAAAACAATGATTGCCTTTATGCTGAGGTCTGCCCAGTTTGCTACAATCAAGGAATGGTGAGAAGTTCTCAGGGGTCCTAGACAAAATCTACATCTTGAAATGGGAAAGGCTGCACTTTGATCCAGTGGGAAGGCATGCTCATCCTAAGAGCAAAACTTCAAAGAATTTTAGCAGTGTGCAATATTCATAACCTGTAGGGATAAAAATCATTTCAATTAAATATCTTCTAATGATAGAAAAGCATAATTCTGATAGGGCAACTAAATGAATATCAAATGACTCAAAAATATCCTGCTGAGACCTAAAGAGATTGAGAAAATAGACAAATCTTTGAAGTAAAGAACAGAAGAATCATGCATATTAGATTTCACAAACAAAGACAAGAACGGTAACAATTTAAAGTCCTCTGGATCTGTTTGTTTTTCCTAAACTCTAAAAAATTATTCTTATTAAAAGTTACATTTTAAAAATGTTAAGCTCTTGAAACAAACAAATGTGAGGCAGAGTTATAGGAATAAAACAGTCTTCTTTTGATTCTTTTCTCCAATTCTTGTCTCTAGAGCAAGATTTTGAATAAAGTGGATTTTTTTTTTTCTTTTTGCAGGACTGACAGGGAATGTGAATACATTTTTCTCACCTCCTCCGCAAGATCACAATGGAAAACTGGAAAGAGAAATAGCAGCCATGGCGTTGCTGAGACAAGTTGCAGCCAGATGTGTTTCAAACTTGTTGGAAAACTCTTTTTCACTCCTGAAATCATGACTGTGAAACAAAGCACCAGGTACAAAGAGCAAATGTTATTTAAAATAACATATATAAATGCATGTCAAGAAACTAAAAAAGATGGAATAGTACATTTTTATTACCACTGTTTCTGTGGAAAATTTCATTCTATTTTATTGCACCACTCAAGCATTTAGTTTGGCTGCATTTGGTGCCATTCCAGAGTTTGTAGTGATCTGTTTACCAACTAAAGAGGACTGGTGACAAAATGGGTGCTTACATTGCTCTAAATTTTTAGAACTCCATCACAAAATGTTTTATGCTAATATACACTTGCTGATAAAGACTGCATGAGGAAATTAAACCAAACTTTACTTTAAGTGTAATTACTCTAAAATACATTTTTCATGCAGAGCTACTATATAAAGTGGACCTATGGGGTGCTGGTTAAAAATAACTTTTGTGTTAACATTTTATGTTAATAAAAAATACTTTGATGAAGAATTATTTCATTCTGTATTATATGTCTCTATAAGATATCACATTAGGGTTGAGTGTTGGCCTTTGCAACTGAAATGTATTTTGGTTATAAAAGCCTCTACTTCAGAGATACGCCTCTGTAGTGATTCATCTTGTATGCGTCTGCTTCAGCAGCAGCTGCTTCAGACAGGAGAGAGTTCAAGTGCATTTCAAAATAAAATCAACCCAAAATGTTACCCTAACGTGCCAAATTTGACAAAATGGCAAAATAGGAACACAAGGAAACAGAGCTGCTATTGTGGGATGAAAAAATATTTCTTTACAAACAAACAATGAGCTTTTAGCTGGAAATATAAACCATATGTGTTTTATTTGTGCTGGCCCTATGGAGTTTTCCTGCTATCTCCAGGAATAGTGAATGTTTCGGAATATCTTCTCCTGTGAGGTTCTGATTCAAAAGCCAAAGACTAAGCTGGGCCTGCTTCAGGCAGCATCAGTTTGAGTGACAGTTTAAGCTTGGATTAGAACATTTATTTTCACTGACCACTTTGATAGCATTTTAAAGCTTTTGTCTGGGCTTGGGTTAAACTCTTGCATTGGGATGAGCTACTCTTTGAAAAGAATGTGCGTATGCTTTGTTAATTAACCAGATTACAAAAATGTTTCCCTTTTTTTCAGAGATGATAATCATCTCATAAAAACATACATTTTTTAAATGATTAATGACAGTGTTATGTCTTCTTTCACAATAAGCTAAAGCTATATAAGATGATCTGGTACTTGTGCATATCTTTTTTTATTTTTCTTATTCAAAAGCTTTTGTTTTTTTGTCTAGCTATCATACCGCATTTTTATTAAATTTCAAAACGTCTTTTATAAATGCACCTGTTTTTACTAATAATCCAATTCCTGTATTACACACACACACACACACACACACATATATATATATATATATATATATATATATATATATATATATATATATATATATATATATATATATATATATATATATAGTTGTAGGTCATACACCACCTACACTTTTCTGTAGAGATATGACTGATTTCAGATATCTGTTGTGTTGTACTGAGGCAGTTCTTATGTTATATGTCTCCTCTCCATGTGGAAGGTGTCTCCCAAAAAAGAAACAGTAGGTTTCCTGTAGTGATCTGATAAACCCAACTGTGTGCCTGTAGTGAACCTGTGCTTTCAAGTCATTCGGTAGAAAAAAATAAATAAAGATGAGAGTGCTCCTTTAGGCATACCAGGCTGCAGAACACAAATGTGATGTCACTGTGGAAAAGGCTATTCATTATCATATTTAGATGTAGAACAGAAGTCTTTTATACATAGACGAACATGATCATTGAAAGTTGCCTGAGTGTGAGGATGTGCAAATGTCAGGGGTTTTGCAAGAAGGTAGCCATTTAAAAACCTCTGACATTTGCAATGTTAAGTTGAGCATCACTTTTTAGATCTCTGAATGTCTTTTCTGCTAGATCAGGAAATTCCCTTAAAAAACAATAGTATGAATATAGTACTTTATTTTAATTCAGCCATTAGCAGTTACTGTATGCTATCACACTAATTTGGTAAATATGAAAAACTACATGTTTTTAAAGAAAAAGTGAAAGCTTATATTTTTCTTCTTATTGTGAGTCTTGGTTCTGACTTTATTATGCAAACAATTTTTATCACCACGCAGAGTCTTTAATACATTTTTTACTACTTCTAAAAGTTTCTAATTGAATGATCATGATAAAATCTAGTTGACCAACACGAGGAGAACGCATCACCACCCAAATCATCCTTGTCTGTAGAAACTTCTTACTGGGCTCCAGCAACTTTGTTTTTTTGCTGGCTCTTAGTTCTTTTAGTGGACTCTAGTTATACTTCCCAATAAATTACTTAAAACAGTTTGACACCTAAATATAGAACTTTGAACCAATAATAAATAGCCTGTCTTTTTTTCTTCTATGCTAGAGTAAGACTCTGATATTTTTCTTGTTTTGAATATGTCTGTGTGAGGTAGTTCTTTAATATTGGAATAGTCCACATTTTGTGAATCTTCCCCAAACTTGTTTTTCTTAATGAAGTTGCGCTTTGCTTTATGTAGTTTTGTTTTTCTTAATGTAGTTGCGCTTTGCTTTATGTAGTTGCGCTTTTAGATTTGTAGTTGCAGTTTGCACTTCAGGGTCACCGTAGATTTTGCTTATTCCCCTTTTTTCTTCCACTCAATTTTGCTAAATTCTTCAATGCTGTCATGAACAGTGTGATTTCCACTAGCTGTAACAACAAAATAAAAGAAAATAATATTTAGAATTACTCAACAAACAAATGTAACTTGAGCTTCACTTTTTTAAATGACTTACTAAAGAAAATTAACAATGACATACTAATTTATTGAGACGTTCTGGTTGACGTATTGGTACCTATAAGACAAACTGCTCAAAGCAACTTAGGTATAACTGTTTGCACACACTGGGACATACTGCTGCTTAAAAACTGTATTTCCTTGAAACATTTTTACCTAACTAACTTGTGTGAGTACCAGCTAGCCAAAGTAAAACCCATTCTTTCAAGACAACATTTCGAAAAAGTAATCCATGCATTTGTGACCACACGGCTGGATTAATGTAACCCACTTTATACAGGGGTCAGTGATTTGTATATTTCCCATCTTCAGAGGGTTCAAAATGCTGTTGCACATCTTTTAACAGGTACATGAAAATTCTACCACATTTCCCCTGTTTTAGTTTCCTTACGCTGGCTGCCAGTACATTTTAGGATTGATTTTTAAATTTTTTTATTTGTTTTTAAAACTCTTAATGGCCTTGCCCCCCCTTATCTGTCTGAGCTGACCCTCCCGTTCCCTCAGGTCAGCTGATCAGTTGCTTTTAAGGGTCCCATAGACAGTCCCTTCTTAAGACTCATATTTTTTGTTTGGCTTTTGGCACAATTTGAGAGGTTTCACTTTGTTTTATTCTGTTTGTATACTAATATGTATTTGATACTCAATCCTTTCTATTCTAAAATTGCATTGTATTTTATGATTGTGTGTAGCACTCTAGTCCTGTCCTGTCGGTGTATAAAGTGCTTCATAAATAAAGTTGGTATGGTATGGTAGCACCAACCTGGCCATTAAAGTAGATTTTGATTCTCCCATTCTGATTACTGTAACAGCTGCATGAACAGTAGACGATTTAGGTAAATGTTTTCCTATTGTGACTGTGAATCGACAAGTGGTATAATTTTGATTATGTGGCTGGCAGAAAGGAAAATTGGAAGCTTGGAAGGAAGCTTCACTGATGTTTGAGTCCAGACTCATATGTTGTCAGTCATTTTTCCATTTTCTGAACTAAGAGCATTTTGACCATTGTTTACTGCAGGTAGGAGGACAGAGATCAACTGCTCAAATTTAATAAAATTCGGCTACTCTTGCAATGAGTGTTAATCAATAGACATGCTTTTAAAATAGAATTTATTGTAAATCATATTATTACCCTTCAATGCAAATAGATGGATTCATAGATAGAGTTATGATCATCATTACTATTGCACCATTATTACATATTTTTTTCTATCATTTTATTTATTCATTGGTGTGTTATTTTACCTTTTTTCTTGAAACATAAATGGCTAAACTTACTAACTGTGTGTTTAATAGGCTGCTTGTGAAGGACTCAGTCTGTGCATGTTTAACATGAGGCTGAGCTGCTGAAGTCACGGCTCCCTCTACAGTTTGTACAGTGGAAAAATTTCCATCCTTTGCAGGAAAACAATCAAACCGGCTGTGTTGAACAGTCGGGAGGACACCACGGGAGATCACACACACGCAAACGCTCACTTCTTTTTGTGTGTCTGCAGCAACAGCGGGTACCTACATGCTTCTTTTATCAGACGAACAGGCAATTTGAGCTCTGATGGTTATTTTTGCTGTGGAGGAGGGAGGTTTTTCAATTTTCTCCAGACACGGAGAAAAATATATATATATTTTTTACATACTGGAGGAGTGACGGCAACTTTCCCACTGCTCGGACTTAACAGTAATCAGAGGGCAAGGCGCGGAGAAAAGAAAGAGAGGGAGAGAGGGAGGAAAACGGGAGAGACAGAGCTGGACTTAACGATGCAAAGGGAGCAACATTCAGCAGAGTGTCCACGCACAGAAACACCTCGGAGTGTGGCGTCTGTGTAACAGAGAAGCAATGTTTGGTGCGGGGATGCGGTTCCCGCCGTGGTCCCTGCCCGCGGATGTTGCGGCTCGGTCGGGCTGCTCGTGGAGCCTGTGGGCGACTTTGATTGGACCGGACACGGACTGGGGCTGACTGATGTTTGTCCGACAAGGAAGATACTACAGGGAGGAGATCAATAAGAGTTACCGGTACGCTTGGAGATGCCAATATTAACCGAGGATGGAGTGGGAAAAAAGCATGCATAAGGAATATATCTTGGACTGAAACAGATTATATATATTTTTTTTTCTCACTTCATGCAAAAACGGACCTT